AGGCCAGGGCACGGGTGGCTCACGCCTGTAATCCCTAAGCACTCTGGGAGGCTGAGGTGGGAGGATCACTCAAGGTCAGGAGTTTGAAACCAGCCTGAGCAAGAGCGAGACCCCGTCTCCACTATAAATAGAAACAAATTAATTGGCCAACTAAAAATATATAGAAAAAAAATTAGCCGGGCATGGTAGTCCATGCCTGTAGTCCGCTACTTGGAAGCTGAGGCAGGAGAATTGCTTGAGCCCAGGAGTTGAGGTTGCTGTGAACTAGCTGATGCCATAGCACTCTAGCCGGGGCAACAGAGGGAGACTCAGCCTCAAAAAATGTTAACTAATATATAGCAATAAATTTGTTATATTATTTGTAATGGTAACTGTTACTATTATTACTCTTCTCCCTAAGAAGTCCAATCTTGATTCTCTTTCTGCAACTTCTTCCTTGCCAATCCCCAATATGGCACAAGAGGCATCAGTACCACCGAGAGTCTCCAGCCTCTAGTTGGCCACTTGAGGCTCCTGGCTCCACCCCCAGACCATCAAGAGGCTTTTTAGCCCACTTGTTGGGAAGTGCAGCCTACTGAGGACTCCAGGTTCCTGGTTGACTTGCTAGGCCAGATAGGGTCAGGGGAAGAGCCTCAGGTAGGATCTACTACTCACGGACCCAGTTGAGGCAGACCTCTGCACACATGCAGGAGACTGGGTTACCGCAGTTAGGTGGGGTAACACACAGTCTAGCAGCTCCGCAGCCAGGGTATGCATGCCCTCAGCCTTTGTACCTTCGGAGTTTCTTCTGGCTACCTGACAAGCAGACTTAGAGGAAAATAAAGGAGGGTGAAGCTTCCTGTTTCCCTAATCCAACCTCTCCAACGGACTCCCTGGCCACCTGTAAGCTGGACTCTGAATTGGAGAAGGCCAAACACAAGCCCAGTCACGTGGCAGAAGCAAAGTCTCTTTGCCTATAAGGAGTGGTGGAGGAGTGTATGTGTGTGATGTAATTATAATTTCTCCACTGAAACCTGAGTGGAATCTTACTCCTTTTATCTCTGGGGTTTGTTTTATTCAGCTGCAGGTGGCTAACTTTGTTTGTTTGGCTGCAGCTGCAGCTGCAGACTTTGTTTTCAGATTTACCAATCACCCTCCACCACCCCATGCTCTAATTTTACAATTGCAGAGTTGGGACGAATTCTAGAGAGACCTAATCTACCTACCAGCCTTTCATTACTGACTGCAATGAGCTGAGTGACTTCTCAAGGCAATGGAGTTAGAAACCAGAATCCAGGTATCCCCCTCAGTATTTTCTTTATCATTAAATGAGGACATGGCTGATTTGGGTTCCTCTTAGTGGAATACATGGGAAAAACAGTAATATATAGTGCCTCTGGCTGTTGACTCACATATACTGCTTCAACTCCCAAATTCCATATTGCTTTTCAAAAATAGTTTGCATTGCATAAATTTCAGAATACATATTTTTTTGTTTTTTAATTTAATATTTCATTTTTTCTTTTTTATTCTATACTCTAATTTTTTTCCTTTTCAGTTCTACCTACTATTGAGCATTTGTACAGAATACATATTAATAAAATTCTTCTGGTTATTTTACTCTTGTTAGGAAACTTTCTGCACTTGAATCTCTCTCTTCAGGTACTACTGAACAGATTCAGGTAAGGCTCTGCTCCTTACCCAATAGGCTTCTTGTACAGGTCAGCCTGACCTGAAAAACTCACTTTCCAAACTGAGCTCCTTGTGTCTGCCAGTCCAGAAGCCTGCCCTAGTAACCTAGACTCTAGCCTGAAGGCCTGGTGATGGCCTGTCCCCTGCCTTGGACACCTCAGCAGCCCATACAGAGGAAGTGAGTCACCAAGGCAGGCAGTGCTGGGGCACCGTGGGCGTGGCTGTGCCAGACTGGATGGTGGGGGATGGGTTGGAAGGGTGGTTGTGATCATAATTCCTGGTCCAGCCAAGCCAAGTGTGTGTGGGACTGAGTATGCCCGCAGGAGTTAGTATCATCTAATGCTGACTGAGGCCTAGTTTCCCCTTCTCAATCCACTTTCTCCTTTGTCTCTGGGGGAGGAGTACACCCTCTTATCTTTATTCTCAGGCTCTGGTTATCCAAGTTCTGCCCAAAACTTCCCCTCCCCACTGCTATCTTTAAAAAATAAGTTAACCAGTCTTCTGTCCTCTTGAAGCATTAAAAAGCATGGTAAGGACCATGTGAAAGACTGGCACCTAGGAAAACCACTTGAGAAAAGGGTTCAGAAACTAACGAAGGGGAGATAAGCAGGACAGAGGTGTGGAGAGGGGATTAGAGAGGGACCTGAAGATAAGCTGGGACCCAAAGAGGCACTGGAACCCAGATGAGGAGGGTGCTGGGGAGGGCGGTGAAGAAAGGCAGAGGGAACTTTGGAATTGGAAGGCTGAGGGAGGCGGGAGCGGAGTTACAAGGGGTAAAAAAGTGACCATATAAAATATGCTAAGAAAGGAGATTCTGACAGGGCAAAGGAAAACAGGGCTGGAGAGTTCTGGGAACGGGACACCAGGCTAGCCCTAGAAGGCCTGAGAAGCCCCTGGGCTGGTCCAGGGAACACAATGACAGATTCTCATTTCCCCAGTGGTACCTGGGTGAGGTTTCCACCCTCACCCCTTCCCCCAGCAAATTAACTAACAGGTTGGAAGTCAGTCAGCTTTTGTCTTTCCTACGCCTCCAGAAAGAGCCTTAGGTGAGCAAGCCCTCAAACTGGATTAGTGCCAAGAGGCACAGGTCATGCCTCCTTCTTAAGAGACTGTCAAAGCACAAGTGGGACATGACTAAGAATAAACCAAGAAACAAGTCACCGTCAGCAGGTTCTAACGGTGATAGCATTAAAAAGCCAACATTTCAAGGTAAAAACAATTTTAAAGTACCTCCCACGACGGAGTGAGCTGTAGCTCTCCTTTGTAAACAAACCCTCAAACACATCTTAGTCGTGATTTTCCCCACTAGGAGTTAGGGCCAGTTTCTAAGATAAACACGTTGCGTTTTCCTGAAACAGCATTTACCAGAGTATTTAAAGGAGAAAATGCTTGTTAATATGACATCAACACGGATAAAGGTGTGTGGTAGTTTGAAACTCCAAATAGCTTTTACAAAACAAAAGTTGGGGGTGGCTCTTCCAGACTCCACTGCAGTAGGATTTGTGTGCAGGTAGGACCGTGCTCTTCCTGCCACTGGGCGGGTCCAGGGCACTTGGCAGAAACACTGGGCTTTACTGGGGGAAACGGAGGCTGCTGGCCTGGCGCCTCGGCGTGCTCGGGAGCGCCGGCCGGAGCCCGGAGAAGCCCTCCTGGGCAACAGGTAGGGGCTGGGAGGTGGGGACGGGGGCTGTGTGCGGAGGGGCCCTAGCCACGGGCGCCCCTTTGTTGGGAAGTAAAAAAGCTTGGTGACCACTTGCGCCAGAGCCCCCATCCTGGCAGTGGGCCCGCGGCGTTGCCTCGGCCTGGACGGGTCCTGCGGCTAGAGTGGGAGGAGAGAGGGTCTTGCTGCTGCTGCTGCTTACTGGCCCACCGTGCCCACTCCGGGAGGGAGGTCAGAGCTTCCATGTGCTTAACGGGAAACAGGAAGGAGTGGCTGTGAGTGTCTGCTCCGGCCCCCTGGGCTAGGAGTCCCCAGACCGTTATGAGCTTGTGTGGCTGGCTTGGGTAGCTGCTGGT